CTACCTATGGGAATCGAGATGCACTTTAGGCCATTCTCGTGCCAGTAAATATCTCAATGGAGTTGCAGAGCTTCGGACTTGGATTCCGGCATACCTGGTGTGAATTGAGAGCACTTCCACCGCTTCTTCATTGAGACTCATGGAGGATTCCTAATCCTCCATCTCCAGAATAAAATAGCTCCATGGACGGTGCCAATCCTAGCCGTGGAATCCTCCCTCCCGAGAAGAGAGTTGAAAGACGTTGCCGCTCTCCAAACTTCCTATCGGCTCTCGCAAAAGTGAAGAGAAACGGTAATAGGAAATTTGCTTTCCATCTCTCCAGTGATATACAGAGAAGGTAGACAGAAATCAGTCTAAAGTTGAAATAAAAAAACATAATTGAAAATAGAAAAGTTTAAAAAGTGAAAAGAAAAAACAATTGGGACATTAATGATATATGGGCCACAAAAGTGGCTCAAACGGGTAATTTCCACAAATATTAAGAGGTGTGCCCGAAAAACTTTAAGTCCAACTAAAGCCATTCTAAATTGAATGGAGTGGGGCCGTGAGGTATTATCATCCTCCATGTTCCTCCTCAAGCGTGTGACTATGTGAGTTAGACGGGTGGTTTTCTCATTAGTCATTACCATTCCTACTCCCAAACGCTCACCATATCGTTTTAATTAATTTATATGAGCACAATGTTCTCGAGTTACAGTCATATGCCAGCATAGCTTATTAGCTTTGATAAATGTTAGTGACTTGGAGACCACAAAGGGACATGTTTGGCATATTTGAGGCCAAAATTGGGCACATATTGCATCATTTTCCACTTTTTGCATTTTAATGTGTCTTGCAATTTCTTCTATGTTGACTTTGAGCGTATACATAATATATACGGAGTATCATTCTGATGATGAACAGCTAGATAGATTTATCCCTCTTCAGATTTCATCAAAATTGTTAACTTCATGACAATACTTTAGGATCTAGAGGCCGTTTGGCGACACTGTTTTTCGGCTTATCAGACTTATCAATCAACTTTTTCACCAAACACGTAACTTTTGCTTTCACGCATTGAATTGTGTAATAAGACCAAAATAGCCCCAAAAAATTTAATGTAAGTAAAAACATTTTAAGTTATAGCAAGATAATAAGTTATTAAAAGCGAAAAATATAAAACCATACATATTCAAGACTCAAGAGCTATCTTTGTTTCAATAAATGTACGTGTAAGTTTAAAAGTTTTTAAACAGAGTTTTTCAATACTATATTTGGTTTCTAAATAAAGTTTCTAAGATTCTCAATCTCAAATATGTTTAAGAACTTTTACGTTTAAACTTATTGATGGAGTAGGTAATCCAAAATCTATAGAGAGAAAGATATAATTTGGGACGGAACGTTACGTTTGATTACAAAGATGATACATCTGGTTCATGTCTAAAGTAATACTACGTACGTAGTAAAGGGTATTTAATTGTGCCATTTTTCGTTTTCAAGAAATTCCACTAACTCATTAAGATTGTTTCATATCTACTTTGATAAAATTTATGTGGATCTAAAACATTCTTATTTTATACGGTGTATGTTCTTACTTTATTCTTACTTCATCAATTCTGTATTAATCACACAAACTCATTTTTCTTAATAATTTTGCCATCTCTTCATGTTCCAATGTTAGTGAAACGGATGTAGTAACTCATGATAATGGTGGCACGTGTCCGTTACTTAGCGAAAAAGCTTCTCTCAATTTTATATTATAAGTATTACTGGGTTGTTTTTAATTGTACTCAAAATTTCTGATTTGATCCGTTTAAGTCTAATTTGGTTGAGTGAACGCTAGTGTTTATATATTTTACCCGTGTTTAAGTTTGGAACTAAAAGATTTAGGATCCAGATTGTTTTTACTGCATATTTTGTGTTTTAATTGGTCGTACTAGTTTAAGGCTCTGTTTGCAAGTGATTGTGCTTAAATAAAAGCACTTTTTGGGAAAAAGTGATTAGTAGTAAAAGTTGGTAGTGTTTGGTAAAATAAGTGCTTTTTGTGTAATAGAAAAAGTAAAAAGTAGATTCTACACGAAAACCGAGAAAGTAAAAGTTGGTATTGTTTGGTAAAATAAGTGTTTTTTTCTTTAAAAAAACCAAAAACATTTAAATTAATTGTTTGCAAACAAAGCCTAAATGTTTAATCACTTAATGTTTTCGTTTCCAAACTCATTGATTTTAAATTTATAATATTTTCACTATTTGTAGGACATCCATTTGAACTAAATTGCCTTATATTCCCTTCACTCCCAAATTAACTTTCACATTTCCTATTTGTAATGTCCCAAAATTAATTTCCTACTTTTATACTTTTGATAAACTTTTGTTTTAAAAGTACTCATTTGCCCCCTACTTTTACAATTAATTTAAATCCCTTAATTTATTTGGACCACTTTAATTACTATGCAAAACTAAATTTGGAAAGAATCTTTTACTCCCTCCGTCCATTAAAAATTTGCCAACTTTCCGTTTTTGGTTATTCTTTTAACTTTGCTCCTTTCCCTTTTAAGTAAAGAATGTATGGTTCCGGTTAATTCTCTCTCCTCTGCACAAACTTCAATCACACAATTTTTACTTTATTAATTATTGTGCCAGTCAAAATTGATAAAGTTTTAAGCGGAAGTAGTATCCTTTTTCCTACCTAAAAACCGGGGAAATCAAACTCAGGGGCTTAATTTCGGAACGGAAGGGAGTGCATAAACTGCACTACGATGCCAACTTACCAAATTCCAGATTTCGTATTATATACAATAACATCCAAATTTTAGTCCAAAATGATTTTGTATTCATAAGGCGTTTAGGGAACAAACTGTGGTCCTTACAAGACAGATCGATTATTATTACACTAAGTCTGACCAACTCCATTACAATGACATCTCAGAATTATAGTAAAACTTTCATGCACCTTATTAAAAAAAGTAAGAAACTAAAAAAAGTAAAAAAAGTAAGAAAAGACACCAATGACCAAACACGTACTAGCTAGTGAAATGTCAAACCCAAACGTGATCACTAGCTAGCAGTAGCTAACATATATGGATCGATGCTTATTAATTATTCTCTTTGGAAATCTCCTTCCCCTTCATCCACACTCCACTTTATTAGTTTGCTGCATTGTTGAAGAGAAGAATGAGTCAACATATATAATACGTACATGTTATAACAATAACCATTATATTTTTTTGAAAGAATGTCTAACATATAACTTTTGGCTTTTCAATGAAAATATATGACCCCTTTTAGAGCTCGTTAATGAGTAACATTTATTTTCAGGTTTTCAGCTTATCAGTCTTACTAGTCTTTTTTGTTACCAAATGTGTAATGTTTGATTTCGCGTAGTGAATTGTTTTATAATCAAAATAAGTAATATGTAATCAAAATATATGACCACTTGAAAGATACTGTCATGTTTAAAGTTTGATAATGTCAAAACATGGTAATACATATTTCCATTTAGAAAAAAACATGACAGAAATATTTTGAAATTTACAAATATTTTTTCTTGTATTAAGAGCAATTTCTTTAATTTTTTAATGAACATAATATCTTTTGGGCAATTAAACACATCTCAAAACTAAAGTAATACAGTAATATGGTTATATATTTCCAAGCTTGGATAAATTAAATGTACAAAGAGAAATGTGTTAAGCTTTAATGAAAAATAATAATAGCTGACCGGGGCAAGAGAGAGGGGCGACGTTGCACTGAGCCGGAATGCGAGAGGCGACACGAATGGTGTTGCAAATGCAGTCATGATCGACGCCTTGCAAGGCGGCACAACAGTCGGCACTTGGGGTGGTGGTGGTTGCTCCGGGCACAACAAATGGAGCGCAAACGTTGAGGTGCCCAAGGGCAGCACTACACGTGTCGCCTTGAGCGTTCGCCGCCGCCATGATCAGACCCAACACCACTATGGCGCCAAATATGCTCTTTAAGCTTGCCATTTTTTGTTATTTAACTATAATAATATATATGTGGTGATGGTATAACTTTATATACGCAGTATTTCTTTTTTAGTCTATTATATGATGATTCAATGGATGAGTAGTTGAAGGTTGTTGTTTATATATAGCTGACCGAAGAGACGGACAAGAAACTTAATTAAATGAATGAATCTTTGCATGAAGTACCTGCTAATTAAGTCATTTATGTAACTAGTTGAAGAATGCATTATGCATGCATGTGCATGCAAGGGCTCCTACCAGTGGTGGGTCGGGGTCAGAAATCCCAGCCACCCGGGAAGTCGGAATTTAAAGAATTTATATTGGGATGGAAGTCGGAATTTAAAGAATTTATATTGGGATGGAAGTCGGAATTTAAAGAATTTATATTGGGATGGAAAGTTAAAACTTCACTATATTTTTTACTAGTTAATTATTAATATTTATACCTCATAAATCTCAGTTTTACCGCCTACGACGACAAAGTATTTTTTACCTAAGCCCTTTCAATTCCCATTTCCACCACTTCATGTGCTCATGATGACAATATGGAACGATCATAATTTGAATATTTGATCACAATATGAGTGAACCTTCCACTGAATTCACAAATATTAATTATTAATTACTCTTATCTTTTACTATCAAATACGGAGTAGAATTTATTTTAGCACCCATTTACGGCGCCTCTATTATTTATAAGTGTATAGTAGATTTTCAAAGACGGGTACTAGATGTGTTTTTCGCGCAATAGTTAAGGGACTAAAGCTGAAAAAATTTAAAGTTAAGTACCAAAAATGTCAGTGACGTAATAGTCTGAGGATTAAAAGTGACAAAAACTTCATATGTTAATTTGAACTAATTCATCACATCATAATCACTTCAAAGGTTACCGAGAAGTTTATACTTTTAATTGTTTCAAATAAACATGTAAACAAATCAAACAAAGAAAGTGTCAGTTCAGTACATGAAATCATAGCTAATGGAGTAAAGAGTACATGATGTTGCAATCGAGACTCAAAGGTACATAAACTCTGATAACCAGTGCTAATTTAGTCCTAACAAACACTAGGTGGGATAAAACACTGAGTTGGCAATTATTAATGGTTTGTATTTCTTAAGCTTATGGGCCCCACCTTTGTTTATTTCTTCAGCTATTTCTTGGTCAAACAGGGTGAGAGATGGGGTGGGGGATTCGGGTTTCTTTCTCTCCGATGTGCTGCCAGGGTGGTTGCCGGAACCTGCCAGGGGTAGGTGGGTGCTGGGGAATTATCATGTGCAAGCCATGAATTTGGAACTTTAGTTTGGGGGCTATAGAATGATGCTCGGTGCTTCGCCGGAGAAGACAACCAGAAAAGCAGGCGAAGAGTTGATCGGCTCTGAGATGATTGGACAGGCTGTCACATCTGTCCGGTCCTCCAGTGTAGCGTTTCAAATTCCGCGCCTCTCCTGCGGCGCTGGCTTGAAGCGAAGGTGGACTAGGGGTTGGGCCGTAACCCTAGCCGAGCTTGTAGACGTGGAAGCCTTGTTCACTGGGATGTTGTTTGATGCCTCGACTTGGCTGAGTTTTTGGATTGGGAGAAGAAGAATATTGGGTAGAGCATTTGAGGACCATGGGTTGTTGGTGAAGTAAAAGGTCAGAGAGAAACATTAAAATGAGTTGGTGCAGGAGGAAGGAGGGGAGTGCAACAGCGCAGAGGCTAAAAAAGGAAAGAGGAGCATATGGGGGGAGCAAGCAGAGCTGGGTTAGGAGAAATGTATAGAGGTGGGTTGAGCGGCTAAGGTTGAACGGCTAAGGTTGTTTTAAGTATGTCTTTAATTTTGCCAATCACTAAACTGTTGGCCATGTCAGCGTTTGTTATGCTTAAATACAACCTGGTACCAAATTAACACTCTTTCAATTATTTTATGTACCTTTCCGTCTCGGTTGCATCATCAGGTACTCTTTACTCCATTGGCTACGATTTCATGTACTAAACTAACACTTTCCTCCAAATCAAACAGTTCTAGGCCGCATTGTTCTAAAACTCACTAGGCGCTAGTCGGGCGGTAGAGGGGCGCCTAGCGCCTAGGCGACCGACTAGGCCGATTTTTCGGCCGACTAGGCCGATTTTTTGATCGACTAGGACTCTACGGTTAGGGCCGCCTAGGCCGATTAATCGGTCCGCCTAGGCCGATTTTTAGAACAATGGTTCTCGCGAAAGGGTCTAGCTTAGTATTGCTCGTGCTAAGTTTTTTGTGTGGTGGTGATTTCGTCCTTGGCTTAGAGTAGGAAGGTTTCGACTTTAGCCGAAGCAGCAAGCGGCAAGGTATTCGATCATAGGAGTAAAGAAGGGCGAAAGAATGGTAGGGAACGGAAATTGTGTAGAGGCTTCGGTGTTGGTTTCATAAGTTTGGTTGTATATTGATTTATTAAATTTTGACACCCACCATGGATACGCTTGTTGGGACGTACAATAAAATATCTATTGCTGAGGAGGAAAATGGGGGTTTAGTCTTGAAAGCAGACCCGGTCGGGGTTAATGGAGAAGTTGAGGGGGGGATCTATTTCTTTGCGGTGGCAAATGTGGTTACAGATAAATCTGTCCGGCCAATTTCTTTTCTTGAAACTATGGCCATGGTTTGGAGGCCAGTTCGGGATGTCACTATTGAGGAGATTGGTACTTCTAAATTTCTTCTCCAGTTTTATCATGAAGCAGACATTAACCGTGTAGTCGAGGAGGGTCCTTGGTCTTTTGACCAGAACTTAGTAGTGATTCGGCGCTTAGGGCGTACTGATAGACTTTCTAGAATGTCCTTGGATTGTGCAGATTTTTGGGTACATGTTCATAATTTACCTTTGGGTTATATATGACGGCTAAAGCTGCCCGTGGAATTGGAAACAACATAGGAAAGTTTGTCAAAGTAGATGAGCGTTCTCTTGGGGGTAAACACAAATTGATCTTGCGCATAAGAGTTACAATTAATATTAATGTAGCTTTGGCTCGAAGATTGCAGGTTAGACAAGAAGTAGATAACTCGACATGGGCAAATTTTAGATATGAGAAACTTCCTAAATTTTGCTATGTATGTGGTTTACTCAGCCATATTGACCGTTTCTGCCTATCTAATTTATACAACTGTCACTGGACTGGGGAGAAGCCATTTGGGTCATGGCTACGTGCTGATATGATCATATGAGACGGTGTGGAGTCCATCCAGGGAGCAGGTGCTTAATACCCAAGCAACGAAAGGTGAAAAGTGTGTGCAACTCGAGAGGAGATATGGTAACCCCGGGTAGCTATGTGGTACAAGGCTTAACCTCTGATGGTGAGGAGGTAATGCATCTGAAGGAAGACCACAAAAAATGTAGGGCGGTAGAAGTGGCCATTGAGGAGGACATCCCAGAAAATAGAGATGAAAAACTTGTGAGTAGAGAAGAAATGGCGGTTGATTATGTCAAGCCAGTGATGGGGGACCTCTATGACAAAGAAGATGAACCTTTGGCGGTGGCTGGACAAACCGCACTTTCCTTACCTGTGGCTGGAAAAACTGGATCTCGTTTTTCTTATTATTGCTCTTTTTTCAGAACTCTTTAGTTACTTTTATTATTCATTCTAGTAGTAGGTGCAACATTGCTGTTAGTGGAGTCTACCATCTTGTGGGGTTAGCGAGTTGGGTCATTTTTCAGCGATCTTCCAGCTCTATGTCTCATCCCAGTGTAGCATTTAATGTGGCGGCTTTGTATCTGGTTCTCGATTTTAATATGAATTAAGTTATCTGTTTTAAAAAAAAAACACGGAGAAGGTGGTTCTAGGGGAGTGTGTATCGGTTTTCGATTTAGTTTTTATAGGTTTCAATTTGGTTTGGAACAGATTGGAAGAATTATTATCAAACAAAAACCATAGGGAAAATGTCAAATAGGCCGGCCCCCTACTATTACGAAAAAGTCAATCGGACCCCCCAACTCAAAGAAGTTAAGAAATGATGAGACAATTACAAAGATCATATTTAATTACATAACATTTGATAAGGTAGAAAAAGCAGGCCTTACGGATAATGTGTGGATGTTTATAGTTTTTTATAAAAATAAAGAGTAAAAATTAAACAACTTTGTCATCTAAATATTAGTATAACATATCAAAGAAATTAATAAATGATGAGACCGTTAGAAAGATTGTGAGCCCGTTTGATAGCACGAAAATCGGCTGATTTGGCTGATTCTATTGATTTAAGAAAAAATTATTTTGAAAATATATTTTATTAATAAAAAAAAGTATATGTAAAAATAGCTGAAAGGGTCATCTACAGTAACTTCGGTCAATACAGCCAGAAAAGTAACTTCAACCTTACCTTTTCTGCTTATTACACAATTCAGCTCACGAAAGCAAAAATTGCGTGTTTGGTGAAAATGTTGTCTGATAAGTCTGATAAACCGAAAAACAGTGGTTCTAAACGGAATCTATATTTGATAATACTATGTACCTAAACCGACCGAAATGAAAAAGTAGTGCAATTGTTACTTGCAATAAAAAATCGAATTAGGGAAAGATGTGATAGTTATTTTGTATGAGGAGTAACATTTTCATATTTCAAATCACATTTTTACTAGACAAAAATAAACCCCAAATTTCTAATTTTTTTCACTTTATGAGAGAGCCAAAGAAAATGAGGAGGCTGAAGTAAGGTCCTGAAACTAATTAAGAGCAAATGTGGGTTGTTAACATGGTTGATGGCTCAACCCATGACTGACCGGTAAACACCACTACGATCTTGAGAAGGCTGAAGTAAGGTCCTGACACTAATTAGGAGCAGAGAACTAGGGGAAGAAGAGAATGAGGAAATAAAGAAAGGGAAATAGAATAAAAAAGTTGCAAGTGAAAGAAGATGGAAGAAGAAAAGCAGGGGAAGAAAGAAGGAAAGAGAAAAGAAAAACGAAAAAAATACCACATCATATGTTGCACAAACCATTTAACCGTTCCACAAACCATTTAACCGCAGTGATCACAATCACAACGATGCCTCAATAAAAAAACTTGATATATACTAAATAGAAAAATATATAATATATGAAGCTGGATAATTTAATATATAGTCATTTAACAAATAAAAGTCTATTATTATTTGTGATTAGATCATAGTAAAAATGCATCATATTAAACTTTGGATCTTATGAATAATTTACAATATCGATACGTATTTTTCATTTTAACTCATATCAAAATGACGCGCTACCGGGGCATTGCCCCGGGTTTTACACTAGTTTAACCCAACCGTGAGTATACGGGTTAAAATGACAATTTGCTTCGTTTTTAGTAGTTTGTGGGTCTAATTTAGGATGTTTGAGTTTGGGATCCAATTGATTTTTCCTTAATAGTGGGTAGGGATGTCAAAAAAAACCGACCCGCATTGATCCGCCCTGGCCCGATACATTCGGGGCGGGTCCGCCCCGCCCCGTCTTCCAAATGGGGCGGGTCCAGCCCGGCCCGCCTATACAATGGGGCGGGTCCGGGTATTAGTATTGACTCGTGCCGCCCCGACCTGACCCGCTCAATACATAAGCATACATATTTTTTCTTAAATTATACTACAGATATACTTCAACATACATATGTGTGTATACAGTAAATCATAAATTATTTGATCTTATAATATATTAATACATACTCCCTCCGTTTCTAAAAGAAAGTCACGGTTTGACTTCACGATTATTAAGGAAATAAATTGACTTTACTGTAGAAAACACTGTTTAGACACTGTTTGGCACTGTTTGGACACTGTTTGGCACTGTTTGACACTGTTTGACATTGTTTGGATGTAGATTTCTTTGCCAAATAAGGAAATAAGGGAAGTGTGACTTTTATTTTGGCACATCCAAAAAAGGAAAGTGTGAGGTTCTTTTAGAAACGGAGGGAGTATATTAGAATGAGACGAACGACGGATTATCAATGTCTTCTTTATACGAAGTATATAGCATTTTAATACATATGTTCAATTATTATTATAATTAAATATATTAACTATTCAAGTCTGAGAAATTTTTCCTTAATTTTTGAAATTTTCAGGGTATCATGAATTTGATTTAATATATTAATTTTTAATTATTATTTAGAGATAAACTTTATGTAGATTCAATTGGTAACAACCTCCCACAAATAAAAATACATACTACCTAATTAGGTTACAGCGGGGCAGGGCGGGACGATGTGGGCGGGTCATGAGTCAACAAGTTTGGACCCGTGCAGGTTACTAGGCGGGACGGACCCGCCCGCCAAGTCACAGGACGGGTCTGGATCGTGCAGTACCCGCCCCGCCCCGACCCATTGCCATGCCTAATAGTGGGAGTATTTGTCACTCTTCCCGAAATCATACTCCGTATTATTTTTTGTGTTTGGTTCAATTCGGTTTTATTCGATTTGGTTCGGTTTGAATTTGTGATGTTATGATTTAGATTGAGTTTGGTTTGGTAGAACTCGGTTCTATTAAATCAAACCGGTATATCCGTATATATGCCTGCCCGCCTGCCCCTGGGTGGTACTGAGTACAATTTATTCTTCCGTGTAGGGTCGTGGATTTAGCTGAAGTCTGAGTTCACCTTTGGCGGTGGGGAGAAACAATAACCATGGCCGACGAGGACTATGAGATGGATGGAGGGTACTCAACAGTTCGAATTCTTTCTTTGCTGCCACGATTTTAAGGGTTTCTCCATTAATTGCTACACTCTAACTGTTTCTGAATGTTAGGGTTCTTATACATATTAAATTAAATTTCCTAATTCCTAAACCTTTCGGAAACGATTGTGGATTCTACTTTAGTCTGACGTGAGCTCCATGGATTGAAATAAAATCAAGCTATGTAAACGCAAAATACTTTGCACTCTGAAGTAGGTTCTGGGAAGCATAGGGATGATGAGATGTGTATGCCGTCCTTAGGTTTGTTTCTTAGAAATAACAACTATTAATGTGAAAATCCTAGCTGAAGGAGAAAATTTGGAAATTTTTCGTAGACATTGCTGCTTTTAAAATTTCCAGTAATGAATCTGCTTCCTTGGATTAATGCAGTATTATATATAGCGGGCTTATACCCAGGATTCACTAACCTCGCTCAATAGTAAGCACTGAAATGTTTATATATTTATATTTATGGTACCTTGCTTACGCTCTTTATATGAGTTGTAGTTACTTCGCTTGATATGCATGAGCCATTACTTTTTGTTTAGTTGTTTCATTTTTTTTCAACATTATGCTTCTTCAAGGATTTATGATACCTTTGTGGGACTTGATACTTATGAATTGTCAATGCACGTGTTTTCAGATATGAGGATGAACCAGTTGAGCCTGAGATTGAGGTAACCTGATTTTGGGCATTGTGCTAAATTTATTTTTCTTTTGCGTAATAATATCATGACCTAGTGTTGATTATTAAAGTTTTGTATCATTGTGTGAATTTTTTACAGGAAGGAATTGAGGCAGAGGAGGATGCCAATAATGAAGACCTACCTGATGCCATAATAGGTGAGGGGGAAGACAAACCTGAAGAGGTTGCTGTGGAAAGGCCTAGGAAAACATCAAAGTACATGACAAAATATGAAAGAGCAAGAATTTTGGGTACTCGAGCTCTACAGATCAGCATGAATGCTCCTGTGATGGTTGATTTGGAGGGTGAAAGTGATCCCCTTGAGGTAAATATCTTAGATTCATCTTTGATACTTCCACATGTACTTAATACTATGGGACTGTAAGACTGTTCATTTGCATTGAATATACTTGGCTGAACTGGCCTGGACGCCTGGCTGGGTCTAAACCTGTGTTCTCATCTCTTCTAGTTTGTGTTAGTCTAGTGAGGTTGAATATTTTGTGTATTTTAGTACCATTTGGTGCTGCTCAAGTCTTGTTAAGTCCAGGACTGAAATAAGTTTAAGTGAGGGGATTCTAGATTTGCACATGAATATTTTACTTCATCCTATTTTGAATTCTCATTTTCAGTTATGTGAACAAATTATCGATGAAGAGAATGTTAAAAGAAATTAACAAATATAGATAACCAAACAAAAATACCCAATTTGTCGTACACAAAAGTATGGTCTTGGGAAGGTGAAATGAAATTTGATCATACCTTTACCCCTAGGAGTAGTGAGGCTCTTTACTGTGAAGACCTCCTGCTAATGGAAATTTTGAGAAGTCTTGGAAGATGATACAAATGTGAAAGCATAAATTTTATGTAGATTTTTCAAATTAGGGAAAAAACATTCTCAAAGGCGAAAGGGTAGTGTGAATAGTATGGTTAACATTGTTTGGCCAGGCAAGCAATAAAGTAGCATAAAATAGCTTTACACCGGCAGTACAACAAAAACTAGGTTAGTAAGGAAGTAGTATTAAGCAATAGAGAAAAATGGACACACCTTCCGGCCAGAGCTCCCCCAAAACCAGTAGGACAGTTTTCCGAAAGGTTTAAATTAAGCTATAATCACAATATGGTTGATTGAAAATATGGTTCTGCACCTCGTATTTACAAAGTTAGAAGGAGTGGTCCTGAGCAAGGTTTCCCTCAAGGCCCCGAGCAGTAAATAAGGAAATGTACTATCGAGTATTGAGCATTCAAACACAATGCACCCCTAAATTCAATACCAAGGGTCCCTCACCCACCACAGCTTACAATGGTTGCTCTTAAGTTTCAACCCCATAGGGAAGCTGCTTCCCTAACATTTCATTTCCAAGAACCCCTATCAGATTGGGTAAATGCTTAAATGGTTAACTGTATTCAAACGATCTCAATGCAAAAGAAAGTTATTGAACGTGAAGGTTGATGTGAAACATGTGGTTGTTGGCTTGTGATTTGCAATTTTTCTTATGAGTGATATATCTATGAAAAGGCAGTAAGAGTTTATTTTTGTTTTTTGTTGAGGCAGCTAATGCTAACTTTGGGCATTAGAGATGTATTTATTGCAATTATTTCCTTTGTCATTGTTTATCAGGAACATACTTTGGTGAAGTGTCTTATGCCTGATTACGATTTTCTACATTTTTATTGTAGAACTGAGATTTATTGCTAAATGGTGGTTTGTGTCTAGTATATTTATTCAGCCTTAATTTTTTCATCCCATAGATTGCTATGAAAGAGCTACGAGAGAGGAAGATTCCCTTCACAATTCGTCGGTATCTCCCAGATGGAAGGTCAGGCTCTTGCATATTTATAATTTTTCTTACTTACGTATATATATAGACACATTAGTGTGGCCGTATGGACAAAGAGAGGCATGCCCGGGGGCATAGGCCGATACTGTGTTCAGTAAAAGTCTTGGTTGTAAAAATTTATACACAGTACAGAAACACACAAAAGACATGCATGAATATGCATACATATACATTTATGTTCACATACAAACACACACCCATAGATACATCCATACATTTTGAATGGTTGATGTTAAGTTCATGAATTTTACAATTCACAGTTATGAAGATTGGGGGGTTGATGAACTCATCGTTGAAGACTCGTGGAAGAGACAAGTCGGGGGAGACTAAGTAATAGTTTCTAAATTGCTGTTGTGCCTTTGATAGAATGATGAGGCATTATTGATGATGCTGTAGTGTGCTTGCTTGATTAGCAAAAAAGAACGATTAGCAGAAAAATGTGTGCCTTTTGTACTATACTCTAATTTCATAACATACTGTTACCCAGGAGTGGAGCTGGTCCGGGCCTGGGCCTGGGCCTGGTCGGTCTCAGTTCTAAATAATTGAAGCTCGGTATCGAACCTGTTTGCCCCTGTACCGGTTTTGGTCCGGGTAGTGGGTACCCGACCGGGCCACGGTCCAGTCCCGGGTTGGGTTCGGTATGGTTTGGGTATTTTTTAATATTTCCTAATTTATTAAACAAGTTGTAGACATTAAAAATGATATGTATATTTATTTGAAATATGAAGTACAATTGAGGATTGAGAATAATTTAAAACATCAAATACATTTGCTAATAATCGGAATCTCCACCGGCGTCGGTTGTCGCTTCCTCCATGAAGTGGTGGTTGGGGGCGATGCAAAATTCTTGAGGTATACGCTGGGGCGCCGGGCCTTCAACCAATTGTGGAAGCAACTGAGCGTTTAAAGAGATTGTGCGCTCAATTTTGTTCTATAATCTGTTAGGATGTAGCCGGCCTCACTAAATTCTTGTTTCACGGCTACTGTTGATACCGACATTGACACCATAATAAGAGATTTGGGACATTGGGTGTTTTACCTGGTTGGGATGTACCGATGCCTTCATCTTCCGTCTCCTAGTCGCCTTGTTTCTCTTCGATTGTCGTTGCCCGCTGGCTCCTCCTTCTCCTTGTCGTCATCCTTGAGCTCTTCGTTAGTCTCGGGAATATCTTCTTGTTGGTAAAATCGGCTATGTCCTTGGAACAATAGTTGAGACAGTTGCTCGTCAGACATCGCATCTCTCTGGTTGTGAGTCGTTTCAAAATCATCTCGGCTATGAGAAGAAGTTCAGAATCCCGACATGTCTTTTACTTTTGCCTCGCGATAAAGGATGTACTTTCACAATCTTCTTTTTTTGCTTGCGTTGGAGGTTACCCAAGTCTACAGATTGTCTAGGTTGCGACATCTTAAAAATGTTGCGTTGGAGGTTACCCAAATTTACATTTAAATATTAGTTGCATTTTAATTGTACTCACTTTTAAAATGTAACAAATATTTAAAAGTGAGTACAATTAAAATGTAACTAATGTTTAAATGTAACTAAAATGTGACTTTAAAATTAAAATGTAACTAAAATGTGAGTTTAATATTAAAATGTTACTAAAATGTGAGTTAAATATTAAAATGTAACTAAAATGTGACTTTAATATTAAAATGTATCTAAAATGTGACTTTAATATTGAAATGTAACTAATATAAAAATGTGACAAGTATAGTAAATGCAATTAATATTTGAGTGTAGTAAATGCAATTAAAATGAAACTATTATTATAATGTAACTAAAATGAAAACAATGTAAAAAGATAATTTAAGAAATATTTAAATGTGACTAATATTTAAATGCAACTAATATTATTAATATTCAAATGTTTTCATGTGAGTACTATTGAATGTGGTTAATATTTTCATGTAACAAGTTTAATACTGTTAAAATTAAAATCTGACAAATATGGTTAATTAATATCATAATCTAACAAGTATAGTAAATGAGAGTATAGTAAATGCAATCAAAATGCAACTACTATTAACAATTTCCAATGTAACTAAAATGCGAATAATGTAAAATGAGAATTAAATATGAAAATGTAACTAATATGATAATATACTTAATGTATAAAATTTATAATATAAATATATTTCATAAGTAATAGAATAAATGTAGTAATGTATATTAATTGATGTGAATGGGACTAATAGGATAAATGTAACTAATTAGAAAAATGTATAACTAATATTATTGAAAATGTAACTAATGGAATAAATGTATTAATGTATATTAATTAATGGGAATGTAATTAAAAAGATAAAAGTAACTAATAGGAAAAATGTATAACTACTATTAATAAAAGTATAATTAATAGAATAAATATATTAATTTATAATAATTAATGAGAATGTAACTAATATGATAAATGTATAAACTATAAAGCTTATACTATACTTAATAAGTTAATGTAAGCATAATTAAAGTAACTAATATGAAATATAATGTTAATAATATATACTCGTAATATATAAGTATACTACTATAAGATGAGTAAGACACTTATATTTAAACGAATCAAATCGACTCGAATAGTGTGATTTTGTATTTGTATTTGTTTATTTTTTTGAACACAAATCCGAATTCGAATATGAAATGAATATTAATTTCAAATTGTATTCGTATTTTGTTTAACAACTAGTATTCTACTCGTGCAATTCATGGGAGAATAAAATTTGTAAATTAAGGCGAAATTTATTAATATAAACTTTTGTCATATAAACACGAATATTTTGTCATATAATTTTGTGGATGCAATTTTTTTAGTTTACAAAATGGTACTTCATGTGTGTAAATGGTATCTCCAATTTTCTAACACCTTTTTATACAAAATTGTCACAAACTGCATGGTTGATCATCACTATTATTTAAAATTTAGTTTTTTAGAAATTTGATTGCAGCGTATAACTATTCACTTCTATATTAGAAAAGAATTACTCCGTAACACTTTTAAAATGTTAATTTATCATTAAATATTAAAAACAACACATCTATAATACCACATTGATCATCAAAGAAGTCATTATATTGTATTCCGATCCAAGGAAAATTGCATTTTTAAACCCTCAAAGTAATCCTCGTGTAGTTTTCAAGTGTGTAGATATAACCTCTCGATTGTCCGACTTGGTGTAAATGAAGTCTTCGCTCACATTGTAACTTTCACAACTCAAATGATTACATTTACAGTAATTTGAACAATTGAGTGGTAAATTTACATACTTGAAAATACGAGGATTACATTTCAATATCTAATCAAAGGTGTTTCTCAAAATATACCTGAATTGTCTTGTGTAATTATTGTCTATATAATCGTGTTATTTTTAAATGAGAACTTTAAGCCGAGAAGGAGGTAGTACTAAATTATATATTTATATGTGAGAAGTAAAAGTAATATTAACCAAATAGTATAATTATATTAAAAAATCAAAGTTTATATTCAATATTTCCCAACAACACATATTAAAAAATTTAAACGAGAACACTATTAGATATTGTACAAAAACAATATTAGCTTATTTTGTTTTGAAAGAAAGAATATCATCTTACTTATAAATTTGTGAAAATGAATTGACATGTGATAATACGCAATAATAATAACATTAGATTGTAATTAACCTACGTGTTTTATGGTAATTAATTAACTTAAGTGTTAGAACTAGTTAGTGTTTTAAATTTCTCGAATTTTTTATATACAAAATATAGATGGGTAGTATAAGATCTGCTCAACTGAATCTGAGCTAATTTTATTTGTGATTATCTGTTGACAATTAGAACCAATTTTCTTTGTTTATATTTTTTAAATAGCCTATTTTCAATGTTAGATTATATTCCAAGCATTTCAGAATACATCGCACATAAAATATTATAATGGCTTAAACATATTTCTATTCCCTGCAAATGTAATACTTCTTATTTTATGTCCTTGTGAAATGATTTTTTTTTGTTTTCCATCTGTGTAATTTATAATGTTTTTCTTTTTAAGTCATCACCGATCATAACAACCTTCATCCGGCAACACAACTACTCCAACTGATATGTTTCCTCATATTTAGGGGGTGTTTAGAATCGATTCTGCTTCTGTTTCTTTTTAAAAGCAGTAACAGAATTAGTTTTCAGAAGCTGGTTTCCCCCAACTTCTAAAAAACTAATTCTAGGAGTAAATTAGAGCACCAAAAGTATCTCTTCACTTTCACCCAAACACTCCAACTTGTACTTCTGCTCCCTGAAGGAGCAGAAACAATTTTAAAAATTAGATCCAAACACCCCTCAGTCATGTCATTCAAAAGTACATTTTTTAAGATCGTTAAAAATTTAAAATCCATTTTAAAAACATGAATTACTATTATTAATTTACATTGTTTGAACTTCAATACAGTCTCTAAAAATTGTAAAAGGGTGATTTTAATTTTGTTGTACTCATCAATAACTAGTCATCCATAGTTATGTATGAAAGTATAATGAAACAACGTCTTAATTGAATTATTTTAGAGTAACATTTTGATTAAATATTTATTTATATGTCTTTATAATTTCTCAAATATTCCTCCCTTCTTAAATTATTAAAGAGTTTGGTTGGTTATAGAGTCAAAATTGAGTAATTAATGTATAAGAGATACAAACTCTGTGAAGTGCATATTAGTTTTAAAAGATTTAAGTGCATTTTTTTCTATTCTACTATATGAAATTCAAAACAGGTCTTTTTTCCTATTCAACTATACTTTTCTGATAATATACATTACACTGTCATTAAAAATAGTTAAAATTAAAAATTTTACACTATAAAATTAGATGAGACTAATTCAAATTAAATCACATCAGCCATAATTTACAAATCATGAAATATTAGATCAGGAATTTCAAGTCTAAAATCATAAATTTATTTGTCTGTTCACAAGAGGAATCAATTCATTGAAAAAAAATAGATTGTTCTAAGTCTGGTAAGTTAATAGATTTTCAAACTTTTGTGTGTTTGACACATGAATTTATTACGGAGTATGTTATTTTTTTATAGAATGAATAGAGTGTTATTTGTCTGTTGGTAATATGAACTTTTATCTTCTTTTACTTTTTTTATAGAATGAATAGAGTTTGTTATACTCCACGAGAACATTTCATTGAAACGATATATTTCATGACATGTTATTTTCATGAAAATAAAAAGGAGCTATTAATAAAAACTCAAATAGAATTTGCCTCTAATGTACAAACCATTTTCATGAAAATAATAATCTCAACTATTGCTGGTCCGCTGAAAATAATCTCAACTATTGATTATTTTTGTATAATCCCAACTATATAGACTATCCGCCAATAATGGTCCATGACCATATATAATCTCTATAAAAAGTGAATTTTAAATAGAAATTAAGCGTAAAAAATAAAAGTGGAGATTATTTATAGGGATTACTTGTTATATCTCATCTCATCCACTTTAGAAACTACAAGAATTTATTCATATGGACCATTATTAGCGGAAGGTCCCTAAAGTTGGGATTATTCTGTAATAATCAATAGTTAGGATTATTATAAGTGGACCGCCAATAGTTGAGATTATTACTATCAATTTTTCCTTGATAATATCAAAGCAATAAATTTGATTATAAAAAGACACTAACGGCCTGTTTGGATTGAGTGTTGATGAGTGTTAGTAATGGAAGTGTTAGTAAGTGTTGATGCTAACACTTGTTTGGGAGAAAAAACCAGAGGTGTTAAGAAGTGTTAGTAATGGTTAGGAAGTGTTAATAATAACCTTCCCAACACCTCAATTGTCCATTTTTTTAACACCCCGATTTGGAGTGTTTTGAGGTGTTGGACAATTATTACCCTTCTCATTTACCCGAAAAACATAAAATGCTTCGACATTTCACTTCGAATGTCTTTCCCACGGGTCTGATGGTTTTTTTTTGCATCCCTTCTCTTTACTCGTTTCTTTTGCCTCAAGGTAAAATTATTAACACTTCCATTATTAACACTTCATTCATTTGACTCTCCCAAACAAGGTAAAATTATGTCTAACACTTACACTTCCCTTCCCTTCCGAGCCCTTACTAACACTTACTAACACTTCCATTACTAACACTTCCAAACACTCCATCCAAACAGACCCTAAGAATATGATACTATTCCTGACATTCTCAGTTTGTTTTACAAATCAAAGGCTAAACAGGTTAGGTGACTTATTAGTCCAGGAGTAATGAAGTGTTTGTTTTATTCACGAAATGCTGAAAATCCAATATACAGAGATAAAAATTACCATAATTAGTGTGCAGACAAAAGCATGGCTGTCTAACTGTCTAAGGACCGTTTGGCCCCTCTTACTCACTCACTGACTCCGTATTTCACGAGTCACAACTCACAACAAAGCTCACTCGGATCCTCCACTACTCGATCTCATTTCTCCTTTTTTCCCACCACCTTGCCAGTGTGCCAAACAGTGACTCTTCTTTCCCTTTGTCTCTCCAGTCTCCTTCTCTTCCCATGTCAGATAAAACGCTTGCTTACCGTGTTGGTCAAGAGCCCAGCTCCTATTATTGACCCTAATTCTCTAAAGGTACAATCTTTTTCTGAATCTTTAATAATCTTTGCCATTTCTTGAAAAGAAAAAAGTTAATTACCAAACCCATGTTTTCCCACGAGTTTAATGTTTAAACTATGCTGCTTACCACCTCTAGTTAATGCTTCAATTATGTTTTGCAAATTTTCGGCTAATTAGTGCGTTTTATCAGTTCCTTGGTTACTTCATTTGCTTACTGGGAGTGCTAATCCAGGAAACTTAACCCACTATTTGTTTCCTTACAAAGTTTAATGTGGTTATTGAATTTGTGAGTTAAGGAGCTGTAAATTCATAGGGTTTTGTTTAAGTTAACTCATTCATTTTGGTTTAGGGAACTAAACTGAAGCTACTGCGGACATGGTTCACAAGCTGGTTTAGTTGATGTACACTATTAGGCTAGGTTTAGCTTGTTTGAATTATAATTTTTATTCTTTCTTGGTCCTGTTATGTGCTTCTTCATGGCTCCACAGTGATGCAATAAAATACTGATATCTATTCTGGCCATTTTAGACATTCTTATTAGCTCCTTAGTTTTTAATTTAGTGATAGTATGTGAATGACTTGCAGGAAATTGTTAAAATAATAATAACAAAAATAAAGTAGGGAGGCAGCGTATGAAAGCTATTATCTTTAATATCATGAACACAGAGAGATTTCTAGTATTTATTACTATGCAATTCTATGATTTTCCGCAATCTTTATCTTGATTTGTCGTGGTATCCATATCAGAACAAGGTTGTTTTCTTAAATTGCATCAAAGAATTAACACAAAAAATTCTTTTACTAATCTTCTTAATACATTGCTGAACTGTATGCGAATTAATCTTCAGAATGTCTAATTCTCTATTTAATGCAAAATCTGATTGCACACCAGCATTAAAAGAAGGGTCTTTACTCTGTGTTGGAAAAGTCTTTTCTAATACATGCAAAAAGGTTATGTTTAACTTTATATAAGATTCTTTATTTGATTTAGACAATGTTTAACTTTTATTCAGGTCAACTGAATGAAAACAGCTTATGTTGAACAAAGATTGCTCCAATAGAGAGAAAGAATGAGTTACCGGGAGTGGCAAGACCATAGTTTGAGTGGTGTTTTGCCACCTGAATGTACAGAGGACTTATTGAAATGCTTTACAGATGATGGTGGTTTAAGCTATGAGGATATTTGTGTACAGCAGGTATTTTAGTAATAAAACTTTCAACACCATATGAGAGTTGGATTTCCTCACCTCAATGACTAGGTTTTAAGGTATTTTCTATCTTTCTCATTGTTCCACTGACATAATGCAACAGGAAAGTCTCTACTTCTCCTTTCAAAAAAAGGGGAAATCCAGACATGCATATCGTGAGCATGGTGAGACTAGTCGTAGTAGATCCTTTCCAGGACCAGCCCGTGCTTCATCTGGGGTAACTGTTGCCTCGCAATTGGCTCCCTTTCCAGGACCAGCTCGTGCTTCATCTGGGGTAAATGTTGCCCCGCAATTGGCTCCCTTTCCAGGTCCAGCCCGTGCTTCATCTGGGGTGGTAAATGTTGCCTCACAATTGGCTCTGGATGAGGCTTTTGCTAGATCGTTACAGATGGATGATAGTTTTGATGATGATATCTATACTTTGGCTGGTAATTTTATTATTTAATAAATGTTCAGTCTTTGATGTTCTAAATTCATTTGCAAGAGATTTCAATGATGGGGGGGGGGATTGTCACTAACTTTCTTATACTCTTTATTTACAGATTATTTATTTATTTATTTATTTATTAAATGGTTTTATGATTCTCTGTGTTTCGCATAGGGAAATATTTTCATAAAAATTATTCATCTGATTGCGCAAAAGATATTTTCCTTGATTTATTAGAGTGTTTGTCAAAATGGCAAGGGAAGGCTTGCCTTGTGAGGACACCAATGTGCACTGCGCTGCCCCCTTTTATTAGAGTATGTTTGGACCTTAGGAAATGATACGGAAAGCACACAAATGCTACAGGATGTTTTTCGGTGTGTTTGGTTTCACTCTGAAAAATACAAATGGAATTGAAACATGAGTAATGCTTTAAATAAATGTTTAAACAAATAGATAAACAAAACGAGTTTCAACAAATATTTTAAAAAAAGTCTAGATTCTGAACAAATGTTTTATCCCCCCCCCCTCCACTTTTGATTTCCTTATCCCTTATATGGAGTATTTTATACCTTATTTTCTTTCCTGTACTTTTCCAAGTTCCAAACAGACCCTTCAGAGTTCAGACTTTTGTGGAAAATGAGTTTCTGGTTTCATGTCACAATGTTATTTAGCTGAAACAGGTTTTTTATGTTTTCAGTTATTGTGAGCCAAACATTATCTTATACACGGAAAACTTAGTTTCCAGGAAACATTTTCCACAGAAAATAATTCCTCCAGCAAAGTTATTATCCATCCTGATAAAGGTTTATATTTGCATGTGTGGGTCAAACATTATACAGAGTATTACACATCGAACAACTTATTTTTCCTGGAAGAAATTTTATGTGGAGAAGAATTTCCTCAACAAGTCATTTAGCATGAGACCAACAGACCCTTAGTGTTATTGGAGGAGCAAAATAATATGGTGTCTGTTTTTTGGGGGTTTTCAGATGACTTGTGTGTTTATAAAAGTGAGTCAAGTGACTATGCATATCTTTGTTTCACAGGAGCTTGTGTATCCCCCCCAAGAGAGCCTCCTGTTAGGGTATTGTGCAATTCCTTTTTGCAATGTCCATTGGTATTTATTCTTCACAAATTCACATGCATGTGGTTTAGAGCTCTTCCATGGTTCTTTTCAGGTTGGAATTTTGGATACTTCAGGGCATAACATCAACCAGGATAACATGAGCCACGAGGTTAGTTTAGTAGTCAGCATTCTCTTCTACATTCTATTGTTTTTTTGTCTCAATTTTCAAAACTCTTAAGACAATGGTTCGCTTGGAACTCAGGAAATGCAAGGAAAAGAAAAATGGAGATAACTAGAAATGGAAATTGCAATGAAATAAAGTTTGTTGGAAAATTTAAAGATGAGCTCAAAGTCAATTAATTTATTTTAGATGTTTATTCAAAGGTTTATACTCATTTATATGTGTATTTTGACTCCATAAGAACTCAGAAATCTAAATATTTGTAAAGAGAAAAATAAATTAAAACAACCCATTTTAGTTAATATTCCTTTTCATTTTCCAAGGCAATGCCAAATATTTTAGAAATTACTTTTCTCACCCCCCATCCAAAGATTACTTTTCCTAGCATATTTTGGGATCCAAACATTCCCAAAGAGTCTTATGTCAGGGTAATTTGTACCATGCATGTTTTACAGGTTGAAATTCCAAACACAACAGATGGCATTAATCTAGATAGCATGAGCTACGAGGTTAGTTCAGTAATTAACATTATTGTGCCTTCTATCGCTCTTTCTTTGTCTCAATTTTCAAAAATTAAAAATACTGCGTATTAATGTTGAACTTAAACGCTATGCGAAAGCATTCCGGTTTTACTCCATCCTTTGCTCTTTCGTTTATGCTGTCATTCAACCAAAAGGTGTAATAACTCAATTTAGAATGAAACCCAAAATCTTACTACTCCCTTCGTCCCTTAAAATTCTTCTTACTTACCATTTTGGGATGTCCCAAAAAAATCTTCCCACTTCCGTTTTTGGAAAGTTTTGTGTGGTTTACATTCATTTTTTTTTCTTACTCAACCATAACCATACATTTCCACTTTGTTTCTATTTTCTTAAACCCTGATCAAAGTCAAATTGGAAAGAATTTTATGGGACAGTGGGAGTAGTTATCATGAATCTTGAAGAGTGGCTACTACTCCTACTAGTACTACTCATCACTCACACTTCCAGATTGAGCTCCGTGTTTTCATTTTACTTGAGCAAAATGGCTGTCTTTATCTGTTCACAATGGGGATGTGATTGGGAATCTCCAGGACGAGCACCAAATGTATTCACATATACTCACAAAAATGACCCCTATTATGGTTGGTATATTATTCTTTGTTATTGTCAGGAATTGCAGTCATTGGGAGATGCTATTGGGCATGAGAGCAGAGGGCTCTCGGATGATATTATATCTCGTTTGCCGACTTTTAAATACAATAATGGGTATTTCTTTTGGAAAAAGAAAAGCGATGATGAGTATGTGCAAATTTTCCCCATACCATTTTCTTCTACTGACTATTTAATCAAGATTTAATTATTCTAATGAAAAGAACGCACTAATATAATTACTTATATATTTTTAATTAGTCATATCATAACTATCATTGTATGTATCCATCACAGGTGTGTAATATGTTGCTCGGAGTATGCAAATAGAGAAAAGTTGGCAAGTTTACTCTGTGCACACACCTTCCATTTTAAGTGTATTAAGCGCTGGCTGAAAGAAAAGAAGGTGACAAACTCTCTAAATGATTGCTCAAGTCCTCTTCTTTTTCAATTAAAGATTAATAGTTTTGTCATTCATGGAAAAAGAAAAGCTAAGCTTTCAAATTGGATCCCTCTCTCTAAATGATTGCTCAAGTCCTCTTCTTTTTTTAATTAAAGATTAATAGTTTTGTCATTCATGGAAAAAGAAAAGCTAAGCTTTCAAATTGGATCCCTCTTCCACAACTTGCCTGTAATCAGCTGTTTTATGTTGTTTCCAGCACATCATAAGTATAGGTTGGAGTGTTTTTTTCCCATTTAAGACCGCGAAATATTTCTAATATAATTACAATAAAAACTCCAAAGTTAAGCAAGATCAATGGTCTAGGTCTTGAGGGCAGTTCGAACTCTTATATGAAGTATATTGTTTGGTTTTCTGACAATATTTTTCACTATTATTCTTGTTAATCAAGGAAAGGAACTTCAAGTACAACCCAAATCTTACAATTTAGCTTCATGCTTTTTAGACACCAAAAAATATATGTTCATCCTTTGTTTGGTGCAGACTTGCCCGGTTTGTAACGAGGAGGTGCGCGATGCCTGAGCATGGATGGAAGAAATTGTGAATCGGCTTGCTCTTGTTTTTACATACCTCATGGGGATTGTGCTTAATCTGCATTTTTATCTTCATGCTATTAGATTTTTATATGTAACTTTGGTAGTTGTTGAAACTGTATTTTTGCTTTTAGATTAATAGATGCCTTCTTTTTTGTACATTTATGAAGGCATTTTGGATAGTGATAATCTTACTAATTGATTTGAATGATATGAGAAAATCCCAAATTCTAGCTCACGTTTTGGATACTTATCATATAAATATAAGTCACATTTTAATTAATACGGAGTATTAGTTACCCCCTCAGTCTCATTTTTGTTGTCTTACTTTTCTTTTTGGGTTATCCCAAAATGAATGTCTTGTTTCCTTTTTTGACAAGAAATAAGTGGTCCATATCATTTTACTTTAATCAAATCTTAACAACTTTTACTTTTTCAATCACTTTATTAATAATTGTGTCAAAATAAAATATGACAATCATTATGGGACGGATGTAGTACATTTTAACATTTGTTACGGAGTACATTTTAACATGTCGGGCGTTAGAAAAATTGTTGATATGAGATGCAACGTTGGACCAACATTTTCGTCCCAAAGTCATGTTTGACGAACAAATAGTGCGACTCTTGTCACAACACCAAGAGTTTTTTCTAAATCAAGAAGTCATTCTCGAGTTTGATGAAGAGTTGGAGGATGACAACGTCGAGGAAAGCTCCCGATGGGGGAGGAGAAAGAAGGCTGGAATACCCTCGAGTCCTCGACGAGAAGGTGCAAGGGAGTAGCGCCAGTTCATTTGATCACTTGAACAAAGTAACATTTCCAAAATTTGTTTTCATCTTTTTAAGTACATTTTAAAAAGGTTAAGGATCCGGCGGACAATAGGTGGTATGGACATTGTAAATATTGTTAACAAGTATTGTGCACGGGGTGTCGGGGGCTACAACACTGTGAATATGCACTTGAATCCAAGGCACCCTACGGCCTACGGAGGCGGCGAAGACGAAGGGCAAGGACACACAAACACAAATATTGAGGTTTGTAATTTTACACATGATCAACCTTTTGGTAATTTTGTTTATAATGATGAGCAACATTTAAAAGTTATGTCTGAATTAATATGTGAAGATAATTTGTTATTTATTTTTTACATGCTTATGCTCAAGGTTTTGTAAATCTACAATTTTGAAACTATAGCTACAAAATAATTAAAAAAGAAGTTATCAAACATTATACTTTGAAAAAGGAAAAATAAATTCATGCGTTCTCATATTACTATTACTGTTTAGAAATTTTTTAATGAATTCAAAAATAGACTTATAATCCATAGATAACGTACACTGCTCAAAATCAGTATTAGAAGATCTAGTTCCGATTATAAATAATAACTTGCACAGAGCCAGTGACACACCTGACTCAACATGACACATTCTCATTCATGCGGCAATGTCCCTCCTTGAGAAGACTTTGGATCCACCATTGAGTTGAAGTGCATTTTATTTACTCCATATATTCTATTGGATTTGGTCAAAATTCATTTTAAATTGTTTCAAGAAACTATCACTGTTTTTTAAAGTAATTAAATATATACTTTTAATCATTTCTCTCTAATAACAACATTCGAGCGTTGGTCTTAAAAGATTTCAAAATTGACTAACATAAATTGATACTCCACCAGATTTAAAACGTCACTACATTAGATCTTTGCATAATATTTAAGGGGTAAATAATATGAGTAATGAATAATGTAATATAGTAGGTAGGGGAGCGAAATTAGGAAAAAGAAGATAAAAAGTAAAAAAAATAAGGATGGTAGTTTAAAAAAAAATTAAAAAATCAAATGTGTAGAAAACTTTTAAATACACCTTTAATTAAAAAATGTGGAAAACTTTTAAAAACAGAGAGTATATAACATGGGGGTCAAAAGAATATAGATATTAATTAATCACATATTTTTTACGAAAACTAATTTTAATACAAAAAAAAGTATGGATGATACAGCTTTTCCCAAAAAAAAGTATGGATGATACCGCTTGAGGAAAGTACACGCGCCTGAGAAGGCTAGGGAGACAGCGAATGATGGAATTGATGGACTTTTGGACCTCTCCTGTCTCGGATCACCGCCTAAAACTGACTGAAGCAGTAAACCTGGTCTGTCTCTTAAGAAAATTTTGTGAACTCATATATGAATTGTCTGTGACAGACAAAATTTTTTTAAGAGACAGACGAGTGTACACAAAGTGTGTACACAAAGTGTGTACCTCTAGCATTTCTCAACCACCAAAACCCTTTTCCTGAATTTAAAAATTTCTTATCTAGATCATACAAAAGTTATTGAAAAAAAACAGCATAAGTATCATACGGACTTTCAATTTCCAGACTTTCACTCACTTCCGGTATACACTATATGACGATTGCTCTGTTCGATTCCTTCAGATCTCTCGTTTCAGTTTTCCAGCTTGTAGAGAGGTACATTCTTTTGTTTCCCATTTACCACAATCTTTTATTACACTTTTCCTGCTTCATTAATACTTATTATGCAAGCTCTTCTTAATACCCTTTCTGTATTTTGGTTCTAACTCTTCAACAGCAGCCAAGATTGGTAAAGATTTAATATTTATGCTTAAGAGGGAGCGAGAGATTCATTATCTCTAAAGAAAATGGAGGATTGTATAGATTTTACACAGTGGCTTGGACCAGATATGTCCATAAAGATTCTTTCTTGTTTGGAGGACCCGTCTGATCTTGTTCGCGCTAGCGCCGTCTCCACCTCCTGGCACCAATTAGGTGAGCTCACTCAAGTGTTCAGCTGACAAAAATATCCTCAAGTGATAGTTTTAGAGATATACTGTCAGTCATTCTCTTCAGGATGATTTCGACATTCTCTAACTTTTCCCCAGTCTTGTAGCTGCTGTTAGTCTTAATACCAGTTTCGTAAGATTGGTTGTTTTTTTGGCTTAGTCTTGTTAGCCAAAAAATGACCTAAAGCCAATTTTTTGCTTCACATACTGAATTAAAAATTGATGGAAAAAGGTTAGGGTGGAGATCATTTTCGGGATGAAAGGCTGAAACCTATTATAGAGGAAAAGTTGCTCATGCACCTATTTTGTTTTTTCATTTTTCGGCGCATTTAGCCGGTGTGCAGTGACAATAGGTAGTGTTTGATAAAAAGCTGGCCAATAAGACTTATAAACCGAAAGTACCTTATCAAACGGGGCTTTGTGTGTGTGTGTGTTGATTGTTTAGGACTTGCAGCCTTTACTGAGTGATGGTAACAAGTAATGCTTTTGCAGTGATCGAAAGCAGTTTGTGTAAAGACCTATGCTTGAGAGAGTTTCCCGAAATAGCAGGTCTAACTGATGTTATTGAAAAAAAACACACGAGTGACACCGCAGAAGTTGAGCTTGGTAAAAAGGATGCCAAGTTGTCACGTCTGGAGAGAAATCATCAAGTTTATGCATTTCTCAGCAGAGGTCTAAGTTCCTTCATGATGAAAAATTGCATCACAGAGGCGCTTTGTGCATCAAGCACTGATAATTACCCAGAAGAAAGCATACAGAATACTTTACTCCCAAGTGATATGGTGGGTCATAGAGCTTCGTACTGGTCAAGCAAAGGAGAAAGTGATCCCACTGTTCCAGAGACTCTCACATATAAACTAGCTTCAAGGTTGTGTTTGGTTACTGAGATTCATGTACAGCCATTTCAAGGTTCCACTCTAACTCCGGACTTCTTTTACTTGTTTGGTCCCAAATCCCTTTTTATTTGCCTTGTATAGCTCATAGCTATTGGTATAAGCTTTTTGAGCAGTAGAATAATGTGATTGCTATTTTGACCAGCTGATTGCATTACCAAGTAAGCTAATGAATTTTCGTTTCATACAAGAATTTTTATTTGCCTTCATAAGCTAATACAATAAGTTGTTTTGATGAGTTTATTGACGTAGCATTTCAAGCAACCTACTCACCCCCATTGTATCAGACACTTTCCTTTTGTTTGTCCCAAAAATATGAACACTTTCCTATAATGTACTCCACTAACATTTTCCTTTCCTACTTTATCCTTTTATCTACTTCATATTATTTTACAGTTTTACTTTTTGGGCACTACTATTTTTTCTCCTTTTTAGAAGTTTACATTTGCAAAATAGCAAATATCTTCTTTACTTTCTTAAACTCGTGCCAAACTCCAATGTGTTTCACTATTTGGGACAGAGGGGGTATTATTGTTCCCAAGGATGGATCCAAGATTTCGAGTCAAGGGGGGCGATAATTTTTCATTAGTGTAGGGGTGGAAGTTTTTCCTCTAGTGTAGCAGGGCGAAAATATTTTCGCTAGTGTAGCGGGGCGGAATTTTTTCGCTAGTGTAGCAGGGCGGAATTTTTTCGCTACTGTAGGACTCTGCGGCTAATTTTTGTTCAAACAATTCCATGAGTAAATACATGATGACATTTAAATCTATTATATTACATTCTAATTTTAGACAATGGAAAAATAATTTTGATGTAATAATTGTAAGTGTTCTAGAAAATTATTTGAAAATAAGAAAGGATATAACATTTTATCAAATTATTTGAAGGTACAGAGTATAAAAGGTACACATAAATCGATGCTTTTTAAGTAACTTCTGCTTTGTTTAATCACATGAATCTTATGAGAATAAAGGATCGGTTTTTGAATTGCAATTTTTGTCTACGAAGGAGGGTATTCGTGGATCACGAGAAGTTTTCTTAATGTTACAATAGTATGCACCATGTTTAACCGTACCACATGGTGCATATTGTATTTGTATTAATGCTAAAATAATTAAGTTAAAGTTTATTTCTATGCAACAAATTGTTTTTACAAAGTAAGTCGTAAATTGATTGTGTAGTTTAGTGTCAACAAACATTTATATTTTGAATTCACTTTACATTATCTAAAAACTGTTTTAACTATTGTGTCTGATATTTCATATCGTTGATATTTTACAAAATCAAGTAGAGATTAAAGATATTTTAAACCTGACAAGCTCTTCAACAACAACAACAACAATATCCCAGTGCCGCAAAGGCTCCCACCTATGGTGGGGTAAGGGCCTGACAAGCTCTTCAAAAGAATTATTTACGAAATAGCAATTTACAACTTTTTCCGCATGTCTAACCTCTAATAGTGTCAAATAAGCAATTTGATCTCCAAAAAGTTGTTTGCGGAACACGCCCATCATAAAACTAACTAGCTTGGAATTTTGTGCCAAACAGCCTATTTTCAGTTTGGTTTCCCCATATATTCAGCGAAGGCGTTGCGATTCAGATTGGGGCATTGCCAGGTACCTATGGAATCAGAGAGAAATAATATCACAGATGAGACCGGAGCCGTTAAGGGACCTCTTGGTGAAAAGTTTGTGTGGACATACACCTCACCGGAATTCCCAATGGCTCAAGTAAGATTGTATGCAGTAGTTTTCAAATTAAAGTTGCTTCCTTTGTTTGGATTTCAAAGTTAATAAAAGACATTTGTAATGTTTCCCTGAGGGTGTGCTTGGACCACTTGAAATTCTGGCGAACGGATAACCATGCTAAGTGTCTGGCTTTATCTTGGGTTCTATTAAGAAAAAAATGACTTTTTCCTGATAATTGAGCATAAGTTTATCGAGTTCGAGCATTCTTCATTTTCCCTAAAGTTTCTTTTCTTTCTGTGCTTTCTTCTCTATTTTCCTACCTATTTTTATGTTTCCTAGTATTTCAAGGGTCCAAAACAGGCCCTTATCGTTCTAGTCAAAACAAAATCTTTATGATAACCATAAGAATACAATTGTTTTAATAGGAGAGGAAGCTGCAAAAGTTCAAGCTGCCAGAACCTGTTCTTTGCATTGGAGGAATTTTGCAATTACAACTCCTGGGCAGAGTGCAGAGACAAGACGTGGATGACTTATTTTATATATGGTAAGTATGAAGTACTTTTGCGTTTCATGGGATACAGATCATGTTTGGCAAGGGTTTAAAAAGCCAGTAGCATCTATTTCAGCCAAATAAGCAAAATTAAACCTACTTGTTCTGTTGACTCTGCATAATAAACTGATTGTGTGGAAGCAAAACAGAACATTACTATTTGATAGTGTCATAGATGATATCTTCATGTCCTCTGCCTTGTGGCAGTGTGGCCCACGTTCGAGTTGTTGGGAGACCGCTCTCACCTGCATTTGATGTTGAAATTCGTGATCAATCTGGAAAGTTCAGCTTGAAGTATTATCCAGAAAAAAAGAATTTGGCCAAGTCCGGTGATGAGCACTTGAGTGGCTTGTCTCGTTTTAATAGGTTCGCTGCAAGCATTAGAAGTCTGCACACGGTGCTTGGAGTGGGAGCTTTTGGTATTGAAGAAGAAGATGATGGTGATGATGAAGCTATATAGCACAGAAACTTTCAAGAAAGAGTACGTTTCAGTTTTGGAAACTACGGAAATTCTCTGGAAATTCTCAAAACAAGCGTTTTTTGAGCAAAAGATTTCCCGTTTCCTCGTGATTTTCGCGTTTTCTTGCAACACAACGATGAAGGCATGAAGCTGCTACTTAGATGAATGTTTGTTGTACGTGTTTGTATCATTTGCCATGTTCTTTTGTGCGTGAATTTGGCTGTCTTTTTTCTTTGAATCTTACTTGTTTTAAAAAATTCTATAATTAAAGAAATAAGCCTTGTCATGGGATAGAAGTATACATTATCCTGCAATAAGTTGTGTGCTTCTCGATATTATATAAATGGAGAAGAAATGCAGAGTTCGGGATCTCCCCCTATTTTTGTGTAAGAGGACTTTTGATAGGACGAAATTGAAGAGTTTAATTTTTATTGTACATGAGGCTGATATAATACATTAAACTCCTTTCTACAAATCAAGTTTTGTTCCATCACATAAATTTTATAAATATAAAATAACCCAAATAACTTGTAGTTGATTGCACATATTTTACTTTATTATTTTCATGATATTTCTAATTATTAGATTTATTATGAATCAATAGAATGTAATAATGTTTTTTATATCTATACATGCAAACTCAATGTCTTTTGTTTATGTTTTGAAAGACTTGAAGTAGACATCCTATTCTTCCTATTCTTGAAGTAACCTTCATCGCTCCGACACTACAACGATTTTTAATGTTTCAGTTATTACATGAAAATTTAAATCACTTTTGTTCTATTAAGTGTTCAAAGTTCCTTTAAAAATACTCAATTACTCTTATTTTTTCTATTTTTCATCTCTGTTTAATATTTTTTCACCTTCTCTCCTATTTTTTCTACATTATTTCATCCTTAATAAATTATTAAGTAATATGTGTAATACAGTAATACTATTGTAATGAAGTTTTAAATATAGAGAGCATCATAATATATTAATATTCCTTTTAGTTCTTCAATACTCGATTGAGTTTATCCTCTTTTCCTTCTTTACCTTAGTTGTCTAGTTGATATTCCAAACAAATGAGAACTCTTCTATCTAAATAACCAAAAAGAATGTAGAGACTTGATTTCTCCATAACGAAGAAACTTAAAAAATAGCTCCTCCAAAATGAAGTTGACAATTGACAATCAAGAAGACCAACAATTATGCTATGAAGTTGGCTAGAAGTCAATCTCGAAGACCTCGAAATGAATTTGATTATTTTCTTTACCCAGTAGATGCGAGATTCAACTCACCTGATAGACTCGCTCAAGCTCTCAAACGCTTCAAGTCTTCCCACTTGGAGGCAAGTGTCTACCAACCTCCAAAAGGCGATAAAGTTTCATAATAAACATAATAGGATCATTTCAACTTCGGTTGGAATACCTTCTAAAAAATTAATTGTTAGGATTTTTCCTATATCTTTTGTAATTTTTTATAGCTTTACCATTTTCCTTCTTTTTAATAAATTAAGGAAGCATTCCCCGACACTTCCTCCATCGTGAGTGATTTGCTCCGGGACCAAAAAATGACATGTAAAACATAAAACATTTACATAATTTATACTCCCTCCGTCCTTAAAACTATGTCCCAAAAAACTGTCACTTTCCACTTTAATCAATTATTTTGGGATTCCTGTTATTTCTCCATCTTCTGCACAAATCCCAATCACACAACTTTTTATTTTATTATTCTTCGTGCCGGTCAAACTTGACAAAGTTTTAAGGAACGGGGTAGTGTAAGTGTAGAGTAAAATATTTTTTTGAGAACAATACTTTCACAGCTTATTGTAAAATATTTTGCTGTTAATTTAGAATTAAATTACACTTAGCTTACTGATTGCTCAAACTTTAAATCCAACCATTTTGCTTCTAACCCTTAATTTAAATTGATAAACGAGCCCCGAAAAATACTAGTAAAACAAGGGACTAAGGGAGTAGTTATACAGAGTCATGGACCCGGGCCGGTTCCGGGCCGGGCCCGGCCGGGCTTTTTTTTGGGAAGGAAGGCCCAGGACCGTCCCGAGTAGCCACCGGGTCCGGGCCGGGCCTCCGACTTAGTCAATTTTTTTTTTTTTTTTTGCTTTCCTAACCCCCCCCCCCTCACCCCCACCCCCAAACCATCAAGCCCAACCTGGGTAACCCCAAAAATGAAAAAAAAAATTAATTAATTCGGCCCGGACCCAGGCCCGACCCAGCCGGTTCGCCAAATACAAGGCCCGAGACGGACCCCCCCCCCCACCGGGCCTAGGCCCGACCCGGACCCGAGAACCGGGCCGGTTCCGGGCCCGCACAGTAGCGGGCCGTGCCGGTCCCAGGCCGGGCAGCCCGAACCAGGTCCATGACTAGTTATACATGGATATTTATCACCACTATTTCTTCTCGTGAAAAACGAAAATCCTTCATTGTCTCTCCAATTTCTCTCTTGTTTGAGAAATCACATTTTAATATAAAAAATTCGGGTGCTTGAAGCCTAGAATCCACTCCCTGGGGATGGCCTCGGGCCGGTTCGGGCCTGGGCCCAGCCAGGCCTCGGGTCTGTTTTGTTGGGCCCGAGCCCGAACCGGTGGCCACCAGTTCCGGGTTCGGTTCCGGGACGGGCTACCCGGTTAGTTTTTTTTCCCCCTTTTCTTTTCTCCCCCCCCCCCCCCCGCCCCTCACCCCCCCACCCCCCACCCCCCACCCCCAAACCGGTCCTAAACATCAAGCCCAACTCAATAAAGCCCAAAAAAACAAAAAAAAAACAGTTTTTGGCCCGGACCCGGGTCCGACCCGGCCGGGCCGGTTCGCCAAAAACTGTAACCGAGCCCGGAACCGCCCAAGCCCCCGGGCCCCGGGCCTAGGCCCGAACCGGACCCGGAAAACCGGGCCGGTCCGGTCACGCACAGTAGCGGGCCGGGCCGGTTCCCGGGCCGGGCGGCCCGAACCGAGGCCATCCCTACCACTCCCTAACTTAGGGACATTTTATGTCCAAACCATTACATTTCTCGAATACTCTTGTTCCACTAGCTAAATTCTGGGCAATAGCGATGCATGGGATTTTTTAGTATCACATTTCACCAGTAGACAAGGGCCTAACCATGAGCTGGCAAGACCGTTATGGTAAAACATCGAACAATATCTGTTAAATACCAAATTAAAACATGTTTGATGAGTCATATCTCCATTGATTACACTTGCAAGGGAGAAATTCAATAAAGAAGATTAACAAACGCACACCTAGCAGAGTACAACAGCTACTCTCAACAATAGCACCGCGGGCTAAAAATAGAAGGAGAGAAGGATTAGGGGAGTGTAAATTAAAACAACCTGTACAAATATGTATGGCAAAAGTACTCATCTAACAAAGAGTGCCATGTGTTAGTCCGCGGGTCATCCTTTCCAGCCGTAGTTCATATTACTATCGACGAGATCACCATTAAAAAACCCACTGTCCGTGAAATCAGATGAAATGTCCGGCAACATCTCCTCTGACATATGCAGATTGTGTCCCAGACTCTGACCGTACCCGTTATTGACGGCCACACTACTACCCCCACCGACTGAAGACTCGCTGTTAGAAGCTGCTGCTGCCACTTTGAAGCCATTGTGCCTCACCATGGATGCAGGTCCCCCCGCATTCCCTTGCCCTGTTCCAACACCTCCATTGCTGTTGTTGATGTCTTGGAGTAGCTGCTGGAGGATCTGCTGTTGTACAACCTGGTTCGCATGCTGCTGCTGATTCATTAAACGCTGCTGCTGTTGCTGCTGGGGTTGTTGTTGAACATTGGAGGAAGTCAAGAAGACGCCGTTGGGTCCTTGAAATGACGAGGGTTGTGTTTGGTTGTGGGGAGAAGACGGTTCCTGTTTGACAGGATTGGTGGGGTTGGAATTCATCGAGTTCTGGCGCAACAACATATTCTGGTAGTTGTTATTAGCTTGTGCTGAGCTGCCACCACTCAAAGCTCCTCCACGGTTACTCATTTGTCTGTTGTTGCTTCCCATTTGACCATTATGCCCTACAGATTGCATTTCCAATGGCTGCTTATTACGATCAGCAGATCCCTGAATACTTCCCCCGCCCATCTGCTCCACCTCCTGTGACTTCGGAATTTGGAGCTTGGATGCAGCTGCATGTCGAGGGAAATTCTTCAAGCCCTCTGCAATGTAGGGGAACAGAGATAAAATTTACATCCTCTAGGGAATTAAGGATCGGTTTGGAAGGTTTTGGTATTAAGGGAGAAACCAAGAACATAGGCTTTAACACAATAAATTTGTTTTAGATACTTGTTGATATTCACTTTATTTATTTGCTGCTCTCATTTATTTCCTCATATTTCCATTTCCAATGCAACCAAAGGCTCACTATTTTTTATTTTATGGAATAAAGCAAAATGACTCACTAAACTGTCTATGCTTTTTTGTGCCCTAGTACAAGGGTACGGCTGAGTACATCTGATCTGACCCCTCTTACCCCACCGTTGGTGGGAGCCTTTGCAGGACTGGGGTAATGTTGTTTATTTGTCCATGTCTATTACAGTATATCAAGAGCAAGTAAAACAAAAATATACATAAATTTTTTTAAAATGATAATAATAACCCATCCCCTTTTCTTTCAAAAAAAGAAAAAAAAAAACTATCCCCTTCCGCTTTCCATTAGTCTATTTGTGACATTTTTTCTCAGCCTTTCCGGGAGTCAACATACCCTTAAAGAAAAATAAAAAAATCATTACCAAGAGGTCCTGCTTTTTGATCTCTGCAGAAGTCCATCAAGTCTTTCATGCTATTTACAACTTCAGCTATCTGAAGAATAGAAATCAGATTGTCAGAAGCACAACACAAATCACAAACAGCGAAACCGGTAGACCGCCAGATTTACCAGAATATGGTCATTAGCAAAATGGTGCATACCTGTAAGCATCTTACATATCTTTTCGAAAATCCCAAATCATTTAATGATTGCAACTCCAAACTCCTTGCAAGTTGGCGTCCAGCCGTGACAACCCTTGAAAATAAAAAGCCACCGGTGTCAGTTAGAGGGTCGATTTCAAAACCTAAAGTAATACTTCGAGCCAGATTCGTAAGGCCTATAATGACCATAGCTGCTAAATTATGGAAAAGTGGATGATTAATCTAAATATGTACTTCAAATAAACTTTTACATATATTGAAAAAAGGGATTGGAAGGGGAGCCATGGCACACCGATTACGGTGTTGCTGCGTGGCCCAGAGTCATGGGTTCAAGTCTAGGGAGCGGCCTCTAGTCATAATGACAAGGACCCTTCCAAAAACCCTTGCCTTGCGGGAACCAATGTGCACTGCGCTGCCCCCTTTTTACTAATAAAAGGATTGGGTGTTGTTGTATGTATTAAAAAAAAAGAATATCTAAAATGAAGCATCATTTTCATTAATTTCAGCCATTTCGTCCAAAAAAGTAACGTATGTATGACATTTACCAGTTGTGAACCTATTCGATATTTTCACCAGAGTAGTGATAAGTTAGCATTTAGTGAATCGCCTAACCAGTAAGACTGGTAAGACGGAAAAAGCCTACCGAACAGACACTTAGGTGTTAAAGTGATGAACACACTACACCAAAAATTAAGCTATCACTCACAAATTGCTGTTTGCTTGTAAATCCTGCTGAGAAACCCCTTCAGGCCCACTTTCTGATATAGTGCTCTGGCATTTTTGTGCAACCTGAAGCAATTGGTTAACCTGCCATGCCAATGTGCCATCAAGAGATCAATTTTTCTTGGGAAAATCATGTTCCAGTTTCAGGTTAATAGGAATGGTAAGCCAAGTGCCTCAAAATCCAATAAGTCAATAACATCAAACTTGTGTACACTACATAACTAAGCCAAAACAATTTACAACCCATATGAAACAGAGTGATGAACCAGAAATTGTTAGTCTGTAAGCCAATCAGCCAATTTTTTAACCCCCACCCACCCACTCCCCGTCCAGTTTATTAGCACCTGTTTTGAAGGGATCAATGGTCCTTACAAGACACTATTATTTTGCATGATGCGTTTATTATTTATTCCTCATGATTTGACCCAAAAGTAGTCATGTGTTTGCATTTGTTTTATACAAAGTTTTATTGTAAAGCAATAAAAGTTTTTTGAAGTATTTTTTTATGACAGGGCATGATAAAATAGTAAAATATTGGAATATCATACAACTCAAAATAACCCAAGAAACGTTAACTACTTTTCTTGGTTTTTTAACTTGATAAAGAGGGCATTTATGCTTCATGATAAGGTTTGTCTCCTTTGATTTTAAGCAACCCAAAGTCCGTTAATTGAATTAAAAAAAGTACCAAACTGAAGCCCATCTGAATTAAAAATAATAAGAACAAAAGTAGCTACTATTATAGACTTTAACTCAGAAATAAGTACCTGTGGTGCAACCAATCTCCTAGGTAAAAGTTCTTCATGACGCCGCGCACAGAACTCCCATGAGAGTATCTTTTATAGCAAAATTAGTTAATGTATATATTAGCACAGTACATTATTACTCAAAGGTCAATAAGAAGGAAAATTGATCTCTATTGGTTTTACCTTCAAGTCAGGAGTAAAAATTATGCGAAGCTGACCCTCCCGAACAACACGAAGTTGGTCATAAACACTCTCCTGAACTGCCTTGGCATATTCTATCATCATTATCCCAGATGGAAATCGACATTCCCGTGGCATATCCAGGAACAAGAGCTCATCGACAACACCACTGCTGAACTTTATTTCATTGAGCCTAGGAAGTACTTCGAAGGTTGCCTCTGATCAAACCACCACAAAAGAATGAAACAAATGTTACATCAAGTCAATATTGAAACATGTTCAACAAGCCAAAGTATAAAAACCATACATGTCATGGCAATATATAGAACATATACATCCCTATCAATACCCGAATATTTGCATAAAGGTTTCATAGAGATGCAAATGATTTCTAGAAGATACTAATGATAATATGGCACACGAAATTGTGTTTAGAACTCTATTCTTTTAAAAAACGGTGGGTCTAAACAAACAACTATAATTAACCCAATTACAGTTAGATTACTTGGGTTGCTATACTTGTTCCAATAAAACTCAAAGGACTGATTTGATTATATATAAAGTTACCATGTTGTAAAGTTGCAAAATACAAAAACTATTAAACCAAAAACATTTTCTGAGTAATCATGAAAAATAGAAAACCAATAATATTGATGCACTTATGCTACACCATTTCATTCGTTAACTCTTTTCCGTTATTACAAAACATATAGTTCCATGTCGGAAATCTTCGTGTCCCGTGATATGCATGTCGATAAAAACAATTGTGTGACGATAGCAATATTTTAACACATCTGTATCTCGTGATATTCTCCACACAAGCCAAAAGAACCTTTGATGATGATGATGATGATTTTGAAACTTCGCCTCACTATCCCCATTAATAGGAAGGCCCGAGTTGTGACAGGAAAACATCCCGACATAAAACAATGTCACATTTATTATTTGTATAAAACTGTAACGTTTACTAAATTTGCACACATAGTTGACACTAAACAGTTCATACCACCACCCCAACATAGAAAGGATAGCTAACGAGAGCCATTATCAACGACAAAAGGTTCGTTAATTCAAGAGTTTTATGCCAAATTATCCAAACTCAGAACTAAAAGGCTAATATTGTATGCTATTTATGTAGCTAAAATTGCTGTAAAATATGCAGTACTAGATTAAATAAAGGAGAGACTATACAAAAATAAAACACAAACCAAAGTTACTTATGGTAAAAGTCTCTTCACTAACTCACCAAATCCTCTTCCAGATTTAGAATTACAAATGTCACACTGCCATGCATCCTGAGAAGAAAAATGAATAGCAACCAATAAACCTCCACCCAAAACCACTGTGAAATAGTAGCAGCTTAAGAAAGAGATGAATGTTTGAGGAAAGTACCATAGCCGCCTGTGGAAATACCCCCAACGATTGATGACCAACATTATCATATAATGACAAGCACCACCTTTTCTTTGCGCGTGGAGAGTAATATTCGGCTACAAACTTTCTCCAATAAGCAATGGAATTTTCCTGAAAAAAAAAACAAAAACTTGAAGAAGTATGTAAACAGTGGGAAGCAGTGTGATCCAATATGCTTCCAGTATAAACAACAACAACAACATCCAAGCCTTAGTCCCAAAAGATTTTGGGGTCGGCTAACATGAATTGATCCATGATCTCGATGCGTCCCAAAAGATTTTGGGGTCGGCTAACATGAATTGATCCATGATATCAATGCCAAAAAGAGAAGACAAACAAGAAGAAGAAGAAGAAGAAGAAGAAGAAGAAAAGATAAAACGAACAAGATAAAGATAAATAAATATAATATAACAATAACATAAGAACATAGAAAAGATAATAAATAAATAAAAATAAAAGAACATACAAAAGCTAGAAGATAAAAATAACATAACATAAAAAGATAATGAATATAAACGATTAAAGAAAACAAGAGGAAAGATAGACAAGAAAAAGAGAGGAAATATGTTTCCAGTATATACTACCTCCATCCCAATTTGATGATACCATTGCGGTTTACGAAGTTTGACTGACGATAAAGCAAATGGATCCTTGTCCGCACTCAAATTATTTTTAGAAAAAAAATTGCATAATCAAAAACTACATTAAAAACTTTACAAAGTTGCAAACACCTGGATTAAATTTGATTAAAATTTAATACATAAAGCAAGAGATTAAGAGTGATTTGTGTTGAGTGTTTACCAATGGAGAGAGAAATGGTACCATCAAATTGGGACGGATGTAATATTTACAAATTTATATAGTTCACCGGATAGTGGATTGTTTACTGACATTGGCACATGGCATGTAACAATGTATACCAGTATGCAAGTCTAGTAGTACATTAGCACATATGTAATGCTTGTAGAAATGATCAGAGTGCACTCAGTGCAGTTGCTATTGACGTAGGACATAGCTGTATCATTTACTCAAGGTTGTTAAGATCGTGCTATGACTCGTAAAGATCGTTAGATCTTATGAGTAGGTCTAGGGGCGATTTGAATTGTAGCTTAGATTGGAAAACCCCCTAGAATCGCTAATCGGCGGGATGGATTGTAAGAAAGCAAGATCAAAGTGTTGCTTTGATTCTGCGGATGGGTAATGAAGGTAGAGAAAAATATGGTGCACAGGGTCGGGTAAATGACGAAAAAAATAGTTATGAAAAACCTTAACAGTTAGAAAATGTCACATGCGCTGCGAAACAAACTCCAGACACACAAAAAAAATCAAAGATACGGAGTACAAAAGAGTGTATCACAAATCTCTAAAAAGGCTGTGTCATCATATGTGCTTTACTCCATCGCCTCTATACTTTACTTCATCTTCGAGTTCTCCACTTTCTCTCCTGTACTCCATCTCTGTAGCTCTGGATCTCTGTGCTTTAATATATCTTAGAGAGATTGTTTGAGAGAGGCTTTTTTTCTTTCTCTGTTTTACATCATCTTATAGTTCATATCATATCTCTCTCTGACTGTATCTCTGACATTGTGTTTTACTTTATGGTCTTCGAGTCTTGATATTTTGATGCTATGTTACGATTCAGTCATTATTATTATGGACGAATTGATAGAGTATTCAAGTATTAATAGTATACATGTATATAAATATTGCATTGTAACTTTGACTCTCGGATCTTACGATTGGAATTACAATCCCCAAGTTACGATCTCCGAGGCCTCTTCCGATCTGTGATAGGATCTCAAGTTTAACAAACTTGCATTATCTCATTTGGTATTTTTAAATTATTTTTCTGAAATATATCGTTAGCAATTTATGAGCTTAGCATTATTTTAGTGTGAGTGAATTTTTTTGTGTTTGTACAGTTTGAATTTTGGGTAATGTATCAATTTTAAATCATAAATTCATAATTATAGCTTCATTACCATCCAAAATCAATATTCAAATTATAAAAGTTAGTTACTTCCCTTTCATTAATATAAAAAACGAGAAGTGGTCTATCGCAAGGGAAATAGAATTAATATTTCCTCTTAGTTACATCATGGAAAATTCTGAAACATAGTGTAAATTATAAAAAGGTTCCAAGTTTGACGTATGTCGTTTTTAATGAATTGATTGCTTTGCTTTTGACTTCCGAGAACAATCTTTGCATAAATTGGTGGGAGTATAACTTTACTATTGCAGACTAGGGAAGAGGACTTGACATGGGAGTTAGGGTCCTTTTGGAACCCCGAAAATAAAATAACTAAACAATATGTGTGAGGGGGATTAGAAGGAACGAAATTTAAGGGGACATAAATTTATACATTCGAACCCGACATCGTAGTTTTTATTTTTGTTCAAAGTTCAAAGACTTCAAACTCCAAAGAATTTAAATATCGATAGAATACAAATGGAAAGAAGACTATATTTTAAAGCAAAAATAGCAAGTGACGAAATGTTCTATATATATATATATATATACATATATATATATATACATATGTACATATATATATATATATGTGTGTGTATGTATGTATTATACAGAAAAACTATAGAAAAACATATTCATCATTCACTTTCCATAATATTATAAAAGACCAAACATTAATAAAAAAACTTAAAGGTCTCTCTTCTTTACCTAGTATTTCTTAAGATCCCAACACGACTTCAAGGACTGACAGAAATAGAAAACAAGAAACTCAAATAAGGCGAAGGGTACTTACGGGAGGTCTTTGGCGCTGATGATACAAATATTTCATCAAACGCCGAGAGCAAACCCCAGCGTCGTATGGCCGTTTCACTGCAGCAGAAGAAGCTGTCTGCATTCCCTGTTGAAGTTGTTGTCTCAACTGCAGCTGGTGTTGCTGCTGCTGCAACAGCTGGTTCCGCTGCGCAGCAGGCATTGACTGTAATATTTGTTGCTGCTGCTGCCTAATCCTCTGTTGTTGGATCAAAGCCTGCAACTGCGGGTTGGGGTTCTGAAGGTGCAAATGATCCTGTCTTTGTTGCAGTAGTTGCTGCAGCACTTGCTGTTGGAGAATGTCTTCTTGTTTCATCTCCATCCGTGGTCTCTTTTGAAGCTGAGATATTGTAGGATCCTGAATGAACGACCCATTACCTCTCAGGCCTGTCCCATTTGGAAGTTGCACCTGACCCATCCTTGAAGTGGGCAATGATGATGTGGCACTTGATCCTCCTCGGTGATTTTGTTGCTGAGAGTTTGTTAGATCTTGATTCGATCCGTCAATGACAGATGACCCAGAAATGCTAATGTTGTTATTGGATGTGAATGACATTGGTGATGCAGGCATACGCATGTAAGAATCACTTCTCTGGATACTGGGACCCACTGAGAGAGCTGAGTTAGCATCTGTGACTAACGAACTTGCCCCGACACTCGGACCAGAAGTCGCCACACTGTTCAAAACAGCGTCTCCAGAAAGAGGACCAAGGTTTGACCGGGCTGCTGCACTTCCGTGCATTAAATTTGATGAATTTGTGAAGGGTGACGATAAGTGGTGGGAATTCCCAAGTCCATGGGACTGCCCAACATCTCCTTGGTAAAAGATACCCGAAGATGAAGGAGACTGTGCCATCCGAGAATGCACCATGGCTGGGGCATTCCCTTGATGACCTTGATGATCCAAATAGCTCTCCAGCTCCAGGCCTTCAAAGTGTATGTTTTTCTATAGGTAAAAAAAATGTCAGCTATCATCCAGAAACCCTAAAAGGATCAAAACTCATAAGATGACATGACCAACCACAAACCCAGGAAATAAAATTCAATTTTTTAATGTGCAAAAAAATAATAGAAACGAAATGACTAAGGGCCAAGATCTCCAAAATTAAAGACAAATAAACAAATACACATAAAAACATAACATTGGCTCAAGAACACTTCAAATCGACCTCTAAAACCTTATCACGTATGAAAAAGCAAACCCCCTCGTTTCCCAGTAAAAGCCCTAAATTTGTCCTTAACAACAACGAAACCTCGAACTTGAGTGTTTTATTCCAAACCTTCTCCAATAAAAGCCTCTATACAGATAATAAAATAAAATAAAAAATGAAAGATTATTCTAGAAAGCTAACTCGAATCTAAGAACATCCATATCTTTAATCGCAGGCATCCCCAACCAAAATTGGGATCAACCGAGTGCGAATACAATAAAAAGGTACTGAATTTATACTATACATGTTATAAAGTGAGCTCTTTGAGGGGGGTGAAATTCCTACGAACTTATCTCCGAACTCTGGGCTGAATCGAAAAACAAAACTCCACAATATGCGCATATATGTTCATAGAGGGAGAAAAAACACAACTTTACAGTTCAATATTGACCAGAATCCATGAATTCTCAAAAAGAAAGCACTGTTCCAATAAACTAGAAATAAAGAAGGCACTGTGCAGAAAGAAAAAGAAGAAGTAGGCGGAGAAGAAGACGAAGCGCTACAAACCTCGGGAAAAGCAAATTAGAGAAGTGAATATAGAGAGGAGCAATAATCGGAGAAACGCTGGAAGATCCCGATCGACGATCTTTATAGCTACCGGGATTTGGAGGGGAGTGACCGGCTGCGGGCGGGTCTAACCCTACAAGACGGGTGATGACCGGTAACTATACGGACACGTTTCGTCTACGCAGTAGGGCTACGTAGACGGCGGTATATTGCTGGGGTGGCGACCCGATGTCGTCGGGTCCACTGACTGCGTACGTGGCAGTTGGTGATTGGATTGTTTTGTGATAGAGAGAGAAGCGAGGAAGGTCGGTCTCTTTGGGGAAAAGTAAGATCTACGGCTGTGATCGGCTTACGGCAAGGAATGAGACTTTGATCTGCTTTACTCACCGTTGGATGATCGAGTGGAATAACACGTAGCCGCTCTTTTTTTATACGGGTACGGAGCGTATACTGTAAGCGGCGTAGTTTGTTTGTTATTTGAAGGTGTGAATGAATGATTTCTTTACGAACAAATATTTTTGTCATCATTTTAACCGCTGTTTTAGATGGTCAATCTAGTCCGGTTTGGCCTTCTACTCCATCCCCAATCATTGCATATCTTTGCACATACGGAGTATCCGAATTTATTCATTTTAATTTGCCAACTTTGTATCGACGATTTTTTACTTGCACCGTAATTTACTAGTCTGGTCTAGTCTGATTTGATTTAGTCTAGTTTGAAGTCTTTGAACTAATCTGATCTGAAGTGGTGGTATCTTTATATTTTTATAAGTATTCAAGTCTGGTCTGGTCAAGGACAGATTACAATTCAAGTAAAAACATCCTGAGTGTGAATAAGAAAAGTAAAAATTATATTATTGTTGTGCAAAAGAGAGGAATAAATAGAAAACACAAAAGAAAAAATGACAGTCTAATACGAAGTATGACGGAGGGAGCCTCATATTTTTTAACCCTTACTTTCAATTTATGATCAACTCTTTTTACTAAATATGCAAATTTTGATTTTGTGAACTGTGTTGAATTGAACAATAATCAAAATAAATTAAATTGAAGTCACATTTATAACTGCATTTGTAAAGATGGCTCACAATTCTACTAGTTTTGATGTTGTTAGAGGCATGACCAACTTTATCGTCGACAATAGTTGTTTTAAGTTGCTTTGTGGTTAGTTATTCATATTACTCTTTCAGGGTAACAGTCAGTCAGTCACTATGTTTAATCAAAGGTTTATTAGTTATAGTTGGAGTTGGAAATTTGTAGCCGGTATTGATCTTTTTTAGTATGGTGTAACGATCTTTGTTCTAATGAAAACTATTGACATTTTATTAAAACATCCAAAATCGTAGGTATTATATTTCTTTTTTGCAAATGAGCTTGTTGTGTGTTATATTAAGGTTTTATGCATATTTATATTCTTGCACAGTTGCACTCATTTAAAATTTGAATGTTGTTAATATTAAAAAAAAATGTGTGAAACATATGACGCATTTTGAGCGATGAACATAATGTCATCATTGTTATAGAATTCTAGTTGAATTCTTATATGTTTCATTTTTCATAATGAATCCCGTTGTATAGAATTACATGTTACCTGTAATTACTTCAACAGGGGAAGAAAAAAAGGGTATTAGAGCCTATTAAAACAATACAACTTGGAATATAAAATACAAAGGTAATGTATACAAAGTTTTTATTTTTGTTGGAGTCTATCCAGATTTCTTGGGATGAAACCAGCTTCCTTTATTGCATGCATGTGTTATTGCAAAGTATGCACAATTAGTTCATATTTGGCATGGTCAAGGATCAGGATACCTAACACACCTGTGATATTATTCATTTTGTCTTCCCTATAGGATCTCCAAAGTCGCAGTGAAACATAACATAGTTGTTTCCCAGTAGAGACATGGAACCAATGGTTCATAAATATAACAATAAAACTTATCACAATAGACTTCATGTGATGTTGTTGTCAAGCTATGTGAATTTAGCACAAATATTGTAACACCGTCCCCAAAAAGTACTTACTTTTAAGTGAATAATGTATTGAACTTATGGAGTGGTTAACGAGTATACGAAGTTGTGAATTTTCATTAATTATTTTGCGTGAATGGTAAATTCGCACGTGGGGCCCACACCGGGAGCGGAGGCCGCCCGATATTCCCGAGTCCGTACATTTTATTCATCTTGGTCAATATAATATTTATATGGTGGTGTATAACTCATTGGTCCAAAGAGATGATATAGAGTTGACCGGTTGATCAAAAAAGGCCAAAATACCGGTACTAGTAATTTAACCGATAAAAGCCCGAAATTGAATTTCGGGGACTTATAAATTAAAGTTGGGGTATGAATATTCATCATAAGAGTCATAATGATGGAAATCACATAATATATTTTATTTGACCCGATAAAATAAAATACAGTTAAAACAGTCCGAAAAATACAACTTTCGGGACAAATTGTACACTTCTGGACAAAAAGGGTTGACCTCCCACATGGGTGGGGGCCAACCCACGAATTTGGACACTCAATTAAAGGGGTTGGTCGGCTGGAGGAGTATGGAGAGAGTGGGAGTTGATGGGAAAAGAATCAAACAAATACAAGGTGGGCCCTTTCCACACCACTCATGCATTTGAGACAAAAGAACACCCACCCCCCTTCTCCTCAATCATTTTCGGCCAGCATCCCTCCACCAAGAGCAAGGAAGCTCTCAAACATCTCACCATTGTTGAAGGAAGCTCCACCAAGAAGGAAGCTCTAGGAAAAAGTATAAGCTCCAAAAGTGTACAAAACTTGAGGAAAGGCTAGGTAATGGCTTCACTTACCTTTCTCTTCTCTTTTTCTTGAATACATTATTATTTGAGAAATTATGAAGAACCCTAGGATTGTTCTGCATGTTGATAAATGTGGAACAAGGGGTTGGAAGGTGGTTCTATGTCCAAAAATGGATTTAGAAGCCAAACCGACAAGTTCACCGGAAAATAACCTTTTAGAGGTTATGTGTATTGATTAAGGTTTTATGATGTTAAAACCTTGTTAGGAACTTGATTTAGAGTATCTTTGAGCTTCGCCGGAGTTTCGCCGGAGTTGGTCAAAGTTGGCCGGAGTTGGTCAAAGTTCGCCAAAGTTCAACCGGGAAGTGTAGAACGCGCTTAAGCTCACTTAAGGTGAGGATGACCGACTATATTGTTTATAATTATTGGGTTAATTTCATAAGATTGCCTAAATGAATTATATGTGTTTGGCATGAGTTATTTATGATTAAGAATGCCTAAAATGGAATATAGTATTGTTCATAAAGAAAATGCATAATATACAAATTTAAGAATAAATTGTGTATGATTATGTGTTGTGATTATAATGACCCAATTGTGGTGTAGGCTATAAAATTGTATGGTGATAAATATGCTTTTACCTCATGAAGGGAATAAAAGTGATATTTTGATATTGAATCAAGTTATACTTGAAGGTGAAATTAAATTGAAATGTATGAATTATTATGAAATTGGCGTTGGCTTATTAAGATTAGACGACTAGTATTGAAGACTAGTCGGGGATGTTAGTTCAATAGTGCTTGGGAGCTAATCCCAAAATATTGAAGCTAAGTAACCTTAAAGGATAATTAGGGTGGACTTTACGAAGTCAAGTTATGTTAGGAGTAGACCTCAAGGGTTACTCAAAAGGAATGGAGCCTAGACTAAGAAGTGGTTTAGGGATTAGATGACGTGACTACGAGCCGAGCTCTAGCACGTGGTAGTATGACTATGAGCCGAGCTCTAGCAAAAATGTAGGAATGACTATGAGCCGAGCTCTAGCAAAATGTAGTGTGACTATGAGCCGAGCTCTAGCACAAAAATGTAGGAATGACTATGAGCCGAGCTCTAGCGAAATGTGGTGTGACTATGAGCCGAGCTCTAGCACAAATTAACATGACTATGAGCCGAGCTCTAGCATGAAAGAACATAAATTAATTTCAAATAGTAACATCCTAAGTTGAGGGTCTTGGAAGTTGAAACTTTGATTATACTTAGTATAGTTGTCATTGTACTTGTCAAATGCTTCCAAGTACTGACCTCCCCTTCACGGGGGAGGCCACCTCACAGTTTCAGGTCGGGATTAAAGCTTGCCGCTACCGCCCGTTGTATCGGAGAATTCAAGAGAAGAAGACGTGGTTCGTGCTTCTTCTGTTTCTGTTTTGAAAACGATTTAAACCATGCTCATGGATATTATTTTTCTTTAATATGTATTTAGGGCTTGTATGCCCATGTTGCCAAAGTGTGGCGTGCACTTTGTATTGAATATTTCCGCTGCTTTAAATGATTATTTTACATTATGTTGTTTATGGATGTACTATGTGTGAATGGTATTCAAGACGCCTAGTATAGTATGGATGAGTTGGACTGCGGTTGACTATTCGTACTGTACGGCGGGTTGTTGACGTGTCCGGTAGGTCCGGGGCGTGACAATTTAATTGGTATCAGAGCCTTAGTCCGTAAACTTCATAATGAAGCTTCAAAATTCCTTTTGAAAAAAAAAATTTGAAAACCATGAGCATAAAGTTTTGTACTTATAGAACTTTTGATACTTGAGTTGCAAAGTCTCTAATTGTTAAGATGGTACCCTTAACAATTGGCATGGCGGTGATTTGAGCCAAAAGATGTCCCTAAGTACCTATCCGTCACTTGACATTTGATACGAGTCTAACGGCTCATTCTAAACTTCTTTCAGAAATGGAGCCAATTGGAAGGATCACGAGGAGGAACCCGATGGGCCGTGTACCGGGTGGGTCCGAACGCGGCAGTCGGGGGTCCACTAGGGTGTCCAGGGGAAGGGGCCGTGGAGGCCAACAACAAACCGTGAGCGATGGCCACGTGGACACTGAGAGTGAGACTTATTGGTCCTATGAGGACTCAACCTATAGGCCGGAAACCGAGCCGGTGGAGACCCCATATGATGGGGAAGATGACGATGTAAGTGAAGAGAGTGAAGACGATGGCACTCTTGGGAGGATCGAGGCGCTGCTCCAACAATACCACCGGGAGCGCGAAGA